TGTTTGCGTAAGGTGTCATTTGGGAAGGAAAGGTCTTCTAGAAACATTGGGACAAACGATGTATTTTCGAAAGTTTTCAGGCTTTCCCCTGGTTTGTATGTAAATAGTGTGGACCTGTTGTCTACCTGCCCTATTAAGGAGAAAAAGGAGGAAAAGAGTAAATATGACCGATTTTTTTCCTTCCCAATCTAAGGATTGCTAGAGGGGCCAGTCGGATTACCTAAACTTTCCTTGAACTCTTCGACGTCTGTCAAGTGCGGCATAATGAACAGTATTAACTCGAGCTTCGTAAGTGAGCTTGATATGCTCACTTTCTTATAGCAGGATTACTAAGGTTGTGATAGCACTAAAAAACTGTCTTGTATAGTGTTGTACTAGCCTTTGTTTCACCGACTAAGTTTAAGGGGCACTAACGCTTGGTGGCAAAGCGCAGATTTTCGTCAAAGTTTGAATCACGTAGGTACATAAAACCTACTTAATGTGGTGTGAGTGAACAGGAAGGATTAATTTTTTTCAAACAAAAAAGCGATGCTAACGTCAAATACAATGGTCACCTTACAAAGTACAATAATAGCATTATCAAAACAAATAAACCTCACAACTAAGCTGGAAAACTTCACTCACAAAGGAGACCAAAATTGTAATGAATTTTCTTGCTGTTTGCGCTTGTTGGCAAAATGGTTCCATTGGGCGTCAAAAAGTCGTCTTCAGGATTATCATTCCATGTTCCGAGCAGGCCCTTTGTTTGATTTTTGAAGCTCTTTGGTGCAGCAAGTACAATTGAAAGTGCTCCCGAAGCAGCTTTAACTGTGACTGATATTCCCGATGGAAAAACCATCAAGAAGGAGTTGTTGTCAGGTTTGGCAACAGCAACAGAGCCACTCAGTGTAACAGATTCCTTTGAAAGGCTAGTGTAATTAAAGGACTCTCCATCAACCAGCACGCATATTCCTGTTGATAGAATAAGTCGATAAGATCTATGACAAGCACGCGTGCTGACGGAACAATTTATTTTCACTTATTTCGAAGAATTATTAGAAGAGCGCAAAATTAAAGGTTGCGATAAAATTGACGAAACTTTCAGAAGGCAGAAGATTTGTAATCCATACAAACCATTGCATTTTGTTTAGTGACTAACCTGCATCGTTCAATTCAACCTGAACAATACTAGAATTGTCTTCCTTGGCAGCTGCGGCGGAAAACACTGTCGCTGTTCCATCGCCTTTAGCTAGTTTTGTCCGAGCCTGTAACTGAAAAAACCCATTACGAGCATCGGCCATTATGTATTCACCAAGACCATTAAAGGTGTAGTTTTTGCCATCAAGAGTGACAAAATGAGGGTCACCCCAGAGCCAACCTAAAAGTAGAAAAGTTATCTTTAATATATATTTTTCATATCAATTTATGTATCAATGTCTTGATACAAGAAATTTGAAGACGAGCAGAATGCCTAGATTGCAAGATTCTACCAAGAGCAGGGACGGTTTTTAAGTAAAAGTTGTGTGTGTGTGGCACTCAGTCTATCCGTTTAAAAGGAATTTAAAACAATGAAAGACTATCCCCAAACACTCACTAATTCGCTGGGAAAAATATATTGATTTCTCGAAGACATTTTGTCCTGTTTTAAACTGATTTCTGTTCACAAAACCATACACTATTATTGCACTCATATACATCGCCAAAGCGTTTTCCGCCAGTAGAATAAAGGTTGGAAGCTACACCATTGGGGGCGTTTACTCTTAGTTTGTTATCATAGATTATCAATAAAATCCTTACTCCATTCTGGAACCACATAATCTCCACAATCGTCGGAAGGACGTCTCCTGTAATATAAGTCACACAAGTCTGAGTTGACACAGCACTTTTGATAGCCTTGCACGTCGCTTGAGTCGTGTTTAGCCCTTAATTCCTCTGTCAACTTGTGGTATCTATGTGCAGAACCTCCTCCAGGATTTCCCACAAGCAGAGCACCCCAGCTTTGCCAGTTAGTCGAATAACAACATTCCTGGCCCCACCCATCTGGTGAAGGGAACTGAGCGTAACCACACATTCTAGGCCAGTCTCTCCAGTTGACTGTGAACCTTTCGTCCCACCACGCTTGTCTCAATATACAAGGACAAGGTTCGAGGCCTTCAGTGTAGAATCGAGGATCTGGTTGCGCTTTGAACCAGCCAATGCACTCCTGTCTTGCGTTCAGTTTCCCAAGGGATTCTTCCAGTCTGAAGAACCACTTCCCAACCATGTCAGCGTTGCCTCTTATTCCATCGATTGTTTCTATGTTTACGGTACCCGATCTAGAAGGTAGACAAAAACAAGTAAATTTACCTTTAGATCAGATTTTCTTCCAGCCATTTAAAAGATAAAGTACTGAACACCACAACCTACCGTGGCATGTTATATTTCCTTTCTCCTTTGTCTCCAGCATTCCAACCAACCACAGGCAAACCACGCGCATTGGAATAATATTGATAATACATTCTGTAACAGACATACAGTTATATATTAGGTTCATCTGGTGAAGAGAAATCTGAACACAACTAATTCATAATATCATAACTAGTTAAAGGCAGTCATAGAGACCGTTGATTTCGAGCTCAGGAGGACTTCTGGCACCGAAGTGATGGTGCGCAAATAACGCATCTTGTGACAAGCTTATCTCCCACAGACATCATTATTCAAGTTAGTCTGAACTAGTTAGACATCAACACTGAGCAAACCTCTGGGTGGGAGCAGACCACTGCAGGCCGCTGCTTGGATAATTATACATCGTGAAGGAGTACACTCCATTCGTGATCAAAACCAACTGAAACGTATTTCCCTATGGATTCAATGTGATAAGAGTTAACCAATAATTTGTATGGCAAGCTTAATTATTCACGCTTTATGAATGGTTCTTACTTATGATCAATTGGAGGACAAACGAGTAGATGACTTCACCATAACAACATTTTGCTCCTTTATTATATAAAATAAGTAAATTTCATGCTGCCTGGATAAATATAAAAACAGTTTTGAAACATACTTATCTTAAACGAACTTATCAGAAGATTAATAGCCTCGAACACAGTTTCCAAGCTTCTGAGCAAAGATCTAGATGTTTCCTTAGAGATCTCTTTACAACAGGAAATCACTCTAAGTTGCTTCTATGTGACACTTCTTTGTTATTTTACATATTTTCGATTCTCGGTGAAACCAGTCTGCAAAAATTCTGGACAAAGATTTTTCTTTCGAAGCGTGAAGGAACCACTCTTGCCTCAGTAGCTATATTAACTGTAGTTTATTGGGAACACAGTAAAAGTACTTGTACTAATGTTAGTTATATTACTGTAGGATTTACTGAACGATGTGAAGGTACTTTAGTCGAGTAATATGATTGTACCAGCTTATTGGATACTTGATCAATGAATGTAGACAGAATATAGAAAGCAATCGAAGAGTGTGTGTCTCTACCAAATGAATACACAACATTAAAACCCGTGGAACGTTTTGCCCATTCGAACTATAAGATGTACTTGTACCTGGTTTGCCATATTGGCAGGATACTGATACGGACGAAAATTTTTCCACGTTACCACCAGCACCCATGACGCCTTGAAGGCGGTCGGCAAAGTGGTCGACAACAGCCTCTTGGTGTCTGAGGAGGCCCTCTTTAACATAGGAGTAGAACTTGGATCGGAATCTGAATACACGTGATAGTAAACTTTAGAAAAGCCCTGAATCACAAAAGATTCGTCCGTATCCGTCAAACACCAATAGGGCGCCAACATTGCCTTTTTCTTCAGCCACCAACGTTCCCCGAAATTGTATGGCCACCAGGGAAGCCATTGAGAATCAAATTGCAGCAAACCGTTGCGACAGATCTTAAAGAGAATAGGGATAGGTCAGTTGATACTCGAAGATCGTTTATTAGTTACTTTATTCTCTATGTTTATTTATGGAAATTTACAGGTTTAACTCTTTCCAACTGTCTCTCTTTATTCATTCCTTGATAATAGCGTCATGATGATGAGTTTGCCGAAACGTCGGAACATTATATCGTTAGTTTTTACTAGCTTGTGTACTTAAATTTGTTGACTAAACTCAGCTATTTTCTTCTGGGTATTGATTCCAATAAGAATCGCTCTAGGAGAGAATGAAAAGTTCATTGAACATGTTGCTATAATACACGTAATTAAGCTCAGAAAAGAATATGACTGTCGACGAAATCGTGAAAAAGAATTGATAGATTAGGACAAGTATTAGTGTACACAGGCAAATGTGCTTTAAACATAATTGACAAGTAGAGATAAAAGTCAGATTGTTTTAACTTCTTAGAAAAGGTTAGCAGGGTAACTTCGCATCTTCAAGAAAATGGCAACAGGGCAAGTGACATCATAATCCACTGTCACGTTGCGGTTGCCAGACGATTGTCAGACGTTTTTAGACTACTTTATTGAAATTAAATGGAAGAGAGTATATACTTACGTAAACTTTATAGTGGCGCTTGCCAAAGAATTGCATTCCATCGTCCGGGATATCGATCTTAAAACATTGCCACGAGTACTCATACGTGTTTGGAATTTCCGAATCACCAGCGGAAGGACCGTAAGGGTACATGAGTTGCATTGGCACTATTATGAAAAAAATTAAATCAAGTGCCTTAAAGAACACCATTTTTGCAATCCAAATGTCGAAAACTATCGAGTGTTTAAGATCCACTAGTTTTCTTTCACGAGATCAGTGCTACAATGTGATTGGCTAAATTGATTGCTATTTATTCAACAATTAGAGTATGATCTCGAGACTTCTATTGTTTGGTGGTTGACGAGGGCGAAGCACGATGAAATTTCGCACGTAGAAATCAACAGCTAAAAATTAATTGTTTGAATATACTCCACCAACAGCCTAAAACTTAACCGCAACACAGGGTAATGTTCTTCTCTGTTTTTTTTACAACCTCACTCAGTTAGGCCACTCCCTTTCCTCGCCATTAATCAAGCGATGGGTAACAGGTAACGTAGCCAACCAGATTGCAGTGTTTGTGATAGAAAGCAGTTAGATTTGTGCTTATCCGTAATAGATGTTGAGTAATGTTGGTAGTCTAGCAGAGTCCGGTTGCAGATGAATAGATGAATAGACAAAAAGATAAGCCTGTCATTTTGTTAAATTTTGAGGAGCTCTTAGATTTAAACTTAAACAATTAGACTATTTGCCCTTGATTTTCATCTGCTACGTGATAGAAATATCAAGGTTGACGCCACTCCTCAGGTATTTCCCAAGGAACCAGTAAATACCTTTTACTTATTCTAGCCAGGATATTTGGGGATATTTTTCCTGACGGGCATGGTCTGTATCATAAGCTTTAATCATGGCGAACGAGTTCTCAACAGTGGTGTAAATTGTGTTTTGTATTTTGAAAACGGCATCATTTTTTCCGTTAGCGTATTCCAATTTTTTCCACTCGTCCATCGTCAAAAGTTAAAGAAATACAGCAAATGCAAATGCTAGAAACACCGTTTACCGATTTGGGGGGATGAATAAAACGGATAGAAACGACTCAACCGTTTTTAAACATGGGCGTGGACGGGGCTTCGGACGCAGTCTTTGAACTTTTTCAATGTTCTTTGTTAACTCATTATCGCTTCATGTACGAAAAAACTTTTGAGGGCCAATTGTCACCGTATATCAGTTTGAACGGAAAAAGAAACATTCATCAACGTTGTTGCAAGAAACAATACTTTCTTGGCTGTGAGCGCAACCAATTCTAATTGCATTTTACCTTCCGCTGTTGGACTCGGTGTATTTGTTGGCTCCCCCGTAGTTTGCACTGAATCAAAAGAAAAAAAAAGGAGGTATAATAATGATAATGAAAAATATAAATTGAACAATTCAACTTTTAAATAGTGTTATATTTCACGTCGTAATAGTTTCCCTCGGAGCATTTGACATTGCTCCCTTATTTCAAGAACTTGAGTTTATTAGATAAAAATCTCACATTTTCATTGCAGTTTCACCCATATACATCTTTATTATACCGCTAGCAGAGCCCGTGGGCAATATCAATACCAAGCGAGTAAGATGGACCCATCTTGCCCGCTCGGGATTACCTGCTTCGATCCCGTGCAAGATAAGAAAATTGCTTGCAGCAGACTTTCAAAGTTTGTAATTTTTGAACAATTAAAGCGATGGGTCGCAAAAAAAGGCAGAAGACAGTCAAAGCAAAGAGAACTCTCGTTGGCAAAGAAGACTCTTTGTTTTTTTGTGCCACAAACGCACTGAGCTGTTTTCCTTCCCACCTCTCGACACAAGCAAGTCACTTTTGATTCAGGATAAAGCAAAATCTTTCTGCTTTATAATAAATCCCTTACTGACCAAGTTTGTAAGGTCAAGATAGCTAGACATTGGTCTCGTCCTCATTTGCGTTTTTATGGGCCTTGACTCCGTCGCGTTCCATTAAAAACCCATAGAAAACTCGACCAATATCTAAACATCTTGACATTACGCCTGGTCAATAACGCATATATATCTTGAAACCATCTGGGATGAATATTACACTCCTAATAAAACATATCCGAAATGACATTCTACACTTATATGAGGTGAATCAAGGGCCTTAATAAATCCTCACTAAGTAACTTCAATTCAAGTCATAACTCCTTAACCCTATTTTCTTTGTTCTTACACTTTTCTTTATTAGTGAGCTTTTTTTTCTTTTCGGCAGATTTGTTGCTATGGAACAAAAAATGAAGCCTTGTACAAGTTTTTTTCTGAGTTACAACAATCACGATAATGAATGTTAGCATCGCATTACGTCATGATAGCATATCACCGTTTTCCATAACATCCCTATTTCTTTCCCTTTTCTACTTGTACAAATATTTTACTTTGGTGCCATTGATTGTACAACATTGAATGCGAATTGCGCACCACTAATTCTATTTTTTCAAAATTCGTTAACAACTAATGTTTTTGCAGATAGCAGTTGGGCCGATTGGAGTCATATCTAGATCAAGGTCTATCGAACTAAATGAATGAATTTTGAATACATGTGTGTACTGCGGTTTCATCAAATGTATGAAAGCGATCCTCGCATTAATAAACCCTACTTATGTAGTAGTGGAAATAAGACCTATAAGAAATTCAGCCCCGTACGGGATTTGAACCCATGACCTCTGCGTTACCGGTGCAGTGCTCTACCAACTGTGGTAACAAACCAACGGGGAGGTGGTCGTTATGTTAGTTCGTATTAAACCCGTAGAAGTGATATAAATCAATGCATTTTGAATATATCAAAATCATATATGGAACTGAACTGTTAAGACTTCATAGAAACTTACCTACGCCAGTTTCTAGGGTGAACGTTTGACTAATGTAGGTGACATTTGACTTGGCCAAGAGTAGCACTCTGACGGTATATTCTTTTCTTGGCTGAATGTTATTGAGCGATACTTGAGTATCATTTGTCCGTATGACATTCCAATACGTCGATGACTGAGACAACTTGTACAATACAATGTAACCCTTCAATTCACCAACATTTTGCGTCTTTTTCCACTCTAATACGGCTGAGGCTGAATTCGTGTTCTCCTCTTTTTTCGCCAAATCTGGAGAATGAATGAATAATCATCAATTCATGCTCAGCCCACTGACCAATGTGCCTCATGGCTATGGCTGCTATCAAGAAAACTGAACAATGCGGTTAGGTATCATGCAGTTGGATATCGTTTGGAAAAGAAAAAGAAGAGAGATTCTATAATATTTACAGCTTGAATTCAAACTAAGAGGGAAGCTACGAAATTACCCACCACTTTCAATCACGTAGCCATGTACGTAACAGCGCACAGCTCACTAAGCTGGTAAAGACTGAGATACTCTCGAAATATACATTTGGTTTCAGTGTTACGGAACTCATGACAAAAATTAAATTCAACCATAATATATGAGAACTTTAAATATGGAAAGATAATGCCAAATTACATGAAACTCTTAAAATAATGTTTGCGTCGAAAAGGTTCCCTTGGTTTGCAGAATGATATGTTTATCTTCTTAGGATTTTGAAACCGATTGCACCTCTTAACCTTACCAAGATCTATTTCCTGTCTCACCAAAAGATATCGAGCGTAGAAACCTTTTTCCTCTATTCCATTGTCTGAATACAGACGTACTGTAAAAGAACTTTCAGTGAAGGTGACAGCAAACGGAGGCTGCTTCCCACAAAATTTCCAGTCTATACTTTGAGATTTGTCGCTCACTTGAACATAATCCGAGCTGCAAGTATTACCAACAAGAACAGGGACCATTACAACCAAACGGAGCAATCAAAGCAGACAAGATAGACAAATATTCTTGACTGTCCTCTAGAACTCGAGATTTCGAAGCTTAGCCGCATTTTCTATTTAGTTTGACAGCATTCATTATTTTCAAATTTGTCATTTTCAAAGAAAAGTTTTTACAGCTTGAAAGCGGTCATCGTGCTTATAAACTGGGTGACATACTTCAGAATAACATTCTCTTCAGAAAAGCTTTCGAAGCTTTATTATTAACTTTGAAAATTTGCTATCACCAATTTTTCCGCAAAGCTCCCAGCGGAGCTCTACTTTTACACGATTAGCGTAAAGAATGGTAACTCTTTGTCGCGACTGCTACTCAGAACCATTCTATCCCTACTTCCTTATTGCTGCAGCAAGGTGTCTTCTTTAATGCATGCAACCTTTCAGATTGATAAATACCTGCATGGAGTACCAAAACCTTCTGTATGTAAGTAGTCGAAGAACAGTATGATCTTCGTTTCCTTCAATTCCATTCCTTGACCTATCACCCATGTGCAGTTGGCGTTACTTGGATAATTACTGGGAAAGTTTGGACTGGCGAAGTCTGTAACATCGCTAGGCACAAAAAACAGGCAACCTAGACGGCAACGGAAAATAAAGTTAAACGAAAGCGATTGGTATTCCTTCAATGCTGGACTCACCGAAATGGGAGGAAAGGTTTAAAAAAAAAAGAGACGTTAACGAATTATTTGAGGGGAGGGGGAGATCATTTTAAGCAATTGCATGTAACTAGCAAACAGTGTTAGAATATGGTTTACCACTCATAAGTGCTCAAGCGAATCTAAGTATTCATATCCCAATTTCTCTTTCACGTACCCGTTTTAGGAAAATGTGGTCGACTTTGAACCCCAACACCAGCTCTTGTAAACCCGGCGAGGTAGATTCTATACAGTGTGAAAACTTTCAGGCCTTTCAATTGCACAGACGAGACTAGAGGCCCAACGGAGATATTGTGATAGCTCTCTTGTGACCAGGCCTCCTTATACTGAACCAGGTAACCTTGCAGTTCTCCTCGGATATCACGTTTATCTATTGGAGACCATGTAACTCGTATAGTTGTAGAATTTGTCCCGAGTGCCGCGATGTTACTTGGTGGCTTTGAAGGAACTGCAAAGTTAGCAAACGATCATCATAAAAAGCATCATTGAAAGAATTCGACCTCGTAGACTTTTACCAACTGTCGGTCTAAGCTTAACTTCTCTAGCAACGTTCGACGTATATTGCGAACATTGACCGCTACGTGTTCACCCACGTTCTTTGAGTCTTAAAATATAGTTATTCCTCACCATCTTCCTTTGTCCTGAGTACCACAACACTACTGCTCCCCATTGAAACTGATCCGTTACTCTGACTTTTGGATAAGGCAGTCACTTGGACCCTGTATTCTGTGTAGGGCAAAAGCCTTTGCACCAAAGTTCTGAAGGTCGAAGAATTAGCTGCAGCTAGACGTAAAGTATCTTTGATTTCAGTTGCTGTGCAAGCTGCAACGAAGCCGTAAACATCCTTCATCGAAAGAGCAAGGGTGTCATTCGGCCACGTCACTAACACTGTTGTAGAGGAGGTACTCTCAGCAGTTATATTCCAGCCTTGTATACGAGGGGCTACACATGTATCATAAAACAAAATTGTAACCTTAAAGCTTGAGGTTAGATATAATAAACAATTGTTATCATAGACCTTGCACGACGGTCTGGCATTAATGTTTTAGTTAAAATTTGTACTGACCTTCGGCTAATGACTTGTTAAGTGTGTGATATTGTGCCCTGAAACCAGTTGCTAAAGATGTCCGGCGTTCCGAATGATAACGCAGGTGTAAGGAAGGACCCTCCCAAACAACTGTTAATCCGTCCCTTCTCCCACAAATCCTCTCGACATCCTGTCCTTTATTGATCTCCATGTAAAAACGCCTGTAGAAAGAGGTCTCTTACATTTCATAACTTTTAAATACACTCACTTGTAAAAATGCTCGTCAAAAACAACTGCTACAAACATTGTAACAATTATTTCATACGATTTATAAGTCTTGAAGTTGGTCAGGAAAACTGTATATACCCTGTTAGGAATAGATTGCGTTTCTAGATCAAATTTCTTTGTCCAGTTTTGGGCTTTGCCAGAAAATATACTTTGATCTTTATCTTTTTCAAGACCGTAGCGAGGTGAAAGATTGCTTTTGGACTAAAGATATACCCAATGCTCGTTTTTAAACTTTGTGTGAACTAACCAACCGGCTAATTTTTTTTTAGGAAGGGACCCACTTGTAGTTAAATCAGCTCAAAAAAGAGTGAAAGTTATCTGCTTCCTTGGCTTATGTAACTATTTACCTGCAGTTCCATGTAAACGGTAAATCGAAGTGTTGAAATGTGAGCAAGAGTACTGAGTTATTGTCAGGAGCGGTGTAGCTCCAACTACATTCACCCCGATTGATGTAATGAGGAAACCCGGGACTTGACATTTCTCCAAAGTGACCAGAAATGGTGGCTCCACACACTTAATATAAATAAATGAATCAAGATAAAGTAATTATGGTTAAATCCCAGAAACCTATATCTGCAATATTCAAATTGATTCAGTTTTCATGTCTAAGCAAAGTACGGATGAAAATTTTGTGAATAAAATAAAACGGATAAGTTTAAAGGTAAAAAGAGCGAAAAAGATAACGAAAAGTTCCTCCTGTAAAAGTATATCGTCGAGACTACTTTTTGGCTGTTATTACCTACGAACAAATACTAGCAAAAAGAAGTCGCATACGTGTTCTGATCCAATAAGAGTTTCCTGGACCTTCACCCATGGCTGTAAACGCAGAGACGTAAATAATGTAATACGTTTGTGGCTCTAAATCAGTTAAGATAACCCGCCGCTCCTCTGGTTCCAAGGTAACATTTTTGGTTTGTTGGGTCCGGCTGTCTTGGTAAGACACTCTGTATCCTCGCAAAATGCCACCGCTATCCTCTTGAGGCAATGCATACCAACTGACAAAAATACTCTGATAATCCAAAGTAAAGACCCTGTTGTACGAAGGTCCTCTAGAGGGTGCTGCAAATACAAGACTTGTTTCTTAATAGGGCAAAAATAGAAAAACCTCAGACAAAGTGTAACAAATAATGAGATAAAAAGGTAGGTAGTAGTAGACTTTTTAAGCAAAGTTTCCCGTATTAAATCAGTTGAATTTAATGGTCTATATGTCACATTAATGTTTGACAGACTGAAAACATTACTACTTTAGAATCATTGGGCAATTAGACAAGTTTTATTCGTGGTACCGAATGCTGTTTGGAAACAGCTTACCGAAAGACGACGACAGAAAGACCGGGGTCAAAAGTATATTGATTTTTATGAAATATTTCTTGCTGTTTTTTGTTTGTATATTTATTTGTTTGTTTGTTTGTTTGTTTGTTTGTTTCGACCGCATCTTTACAAGTACAGGATTTTTAGTTGTATCTAAGTGCGCTTTTTAGCATTTCGTACAGAGGCACCTTTGTAGTGAATATATATGTTGTAGTTCAATTTTATACTTGGTTCAAATTTTATTTTTCTTTGTTCTTGGTCACGTTAATGTATGATAATGAGTTTGAAACAAAGGAAAATAAAATTTGAACCAAGGATAAAATTGAACTACAACATATACAAGTACTTCAATAGGAAAGCCTTTCATGCGCGCGTTCAGTACACTTAACGTTGCTGCAACGCTTGCTAAAGCTCCCAAGTTGTTTTCATATAGGTCGAGTCTTTCTTCCTTGTTGCCAACCTACTACAGGGCTTATCCCGTTTTCCCTAACATGAAGCAACTGGGAGTGCTGTTATTCCATATAGTCGGGTGGGGAGGGAGGGCAAGATGCCGAATTAAGAATAAACGTGACTTTTAGGTCTGAGGATAACTTCAGATGATAAGCGTCGAGATGCCGATTAGTCGGAGGATCACACTAAACGACGCAACAAGTACAATTTTGCTATTAGGATGAGCCACATTCAGTTTGGCGTTTGTAAAGTGATAATGAACAGACAACCAAATAAAGAGGAAAAAAAAACAAGGAATAATGAAATTGCTTAGGTTCGGGCTCGGAGGAATCTTTTTCGTTGTTTCTGAAGTCTTTCAAATGTTCCCGAAAGCGATTTCCTTATCTTTTTCACATGCCTATAATGTAGAGCTTTTGGCTTAGAGTGAAAGTTACATGCTAAATCTATTAGAGAGGTATTTTTTCTTAGCTGTCCTCTTTATTCAAGGCTCAGAAAGTTGCAAAATTATCTTTCAAACTGGCGCCTTGGCTTCCTAAGGAATCAACAAACGCCTTACATTTAACTAGTTAAGTTTTTAATGCCTCCTCGTTACCATTTAACTAGACGTCATTTTAAACTTTATGAACACAATTGCAATTGACAATCCCTTATTTTCTGCGACAAGGGTGTAACACTGTAGCCGTTAAGATAGGCTCTTTCAACTTGTTGCCGATAAATAGCTCAGCGTTTTTACGAAAAAAAAATAAGCGAAAAGAAATTCGTTACCCTTCCTAAGTAGCTTCACCAGGAGGCAAGCGGAAGTAGCTGTCCTGAAAATGTGAGGATTCCTTCCTTACCATTCAGAGATACTTCAAGAAATAGAACTAAACATGGGTCGCATTTTCGATGTCATTAAATAGACTGAAAATTACTCACCCCCCTCTGCAGTTTGAGTTTCGGCACTTTCGCTGGTTTTCAAGGATATTTTACCACTAACACGATCCTTGAGGAAAGCAACAGCTTCTACTTGGTATTTCACGTAGGCTCTCAGTCCACTCACCACCGTGCTCAAGGAAGTGGAGTTTGCTTCTTCCTGTACAAGTATGTCACCCATGAAATTTGAAAGCATGCGCAAGAAAACCACATAGCCATATATGTAAGTGGAGTTTAAGCTGGTAGTACTCAGTGGAGGCCAACTGACAACAATTGCTCTGGAGCTGACGTTACTAATTGAGACATTCCAACCACGTTGATAGAGAGCTTGAACATTAAAAAATTAAGACATAGTCAGTCAATGGCTTCAATTTGACCCAATCTTGAATATAAGGATTGTTATTATCCAACTACACTCCGTATAGTACAAATAACGCCATAGACGAGTACAAATATCACGCGGTATTTGTACTCCAGAGAACTAGTTAGACAGGTTTTCTCGCATCGCGCAAGCGAAGAATTGGATTGAAGACCATTGAAGTTACGAAAAACAAATGGCGGACAATTTTAATCATATTTCTGACGACGAATAGTCGGAATGGCGGACAAATATAAATCCAAGTTTAGTAGATGAATCGAAGAAAAAAGCAGGACGACCAGGAAATTTATTAATTTTTTAAAGAAAGGAGAAATAACAACACGACAACGCGCGCCAATTCCGATTCGCTTCGCATACTTCTGTCATGTTCTCCCCGTAAATAAATATCCACGAAATTCGCCCGCACTGAAATAACAATTTGACGCGTTGGATAATCGCAATTTTGAATTTCAGTTTCATGCTCAGGTACTGAAATGTGTGAAAAATAATTCGTCATCGTCTGTCCGAAGCTCGATAATGACGTCGCTCTTAATTTTTGCATGATTCAGTTATCTGATTCCCCAAAGTATTGACCAGACTCCTTCAAACTAACACGTTCAAAGGTCCCTGACAATCATATAACTATTTGCCAAAACTGATTGATATTGATTCATTTTTAATTAACTTACCAACGGAGCGTGAGTTGTTCATGATGAAATAGTGAGCTTTCAGTAGATTATTATTATTTCCCTTGTAAATACGGACTCTCACAAAGCTGTCCATCACCAAAACTGCCAAAGGCACCTTTTTATAGCGGTCCAGCCACTTTGTTTCTCTCGCACTTCTGATATAAGTCCTAGACGTTAACGCCAGTGAAAAATGATAAATGATTATTAAATTTGCGCTAAACCACGAAACCGGCTCTTGAGCCTGTTAACAAGCTCCCATACAGGTAAGCGTAATGGCAAGAAAACAAGTCCGCGATATTGACCTACATCGGTATATGCTCCCTTACAATAAACTAAGAATTTCAAGTCTTACCAGGCTTCATTAGGTTGGTATTCTTCAAAAAGAAGGAGGATGCTGGAGTTCACAACCGGAGATCGAATCATCCAATTACAAGTTCTATGATAATAGAACTGGGATCCACTGTTTATACCGAGTTCACCTGATGGCTTATCAAAGTTCTGTCCACACTCTGAAACAAAGGACTGATCGTGTTGGGCCTCTTCCTTACAGTGATGTATTCTCAGATATTCCTTAAATCATGAGGTCAAGGAAACGTGACCTGAAAACTACCAACGATGCCTTTTGCGGTTGTCGCGTGTACTTTTTCCGACAACCTTTCTGCAAACAACTGTATATATACATAGATACTTACACGCATTCATACTTTCATTCAAAACTTTATTATAACGTAAGGCGCGTGCAAAGCCTACCTATTTCTTAGGAGCTACTAAGGTTAAATTCTTGTGTAGCGCACGCCGTGCATCCATAACATGACGTGTGGGGTTTCACTTCGGCTGAAAGTTCCCGTCGACTTTAGCTGCGAGGTTTCAAAACTTTTGAGATTGTTTTTCCGTTCTGTCTAAGAAGTGTTCTATGGAAGATTTTGCTTTGAAATCGTATAATTTTCAAAATTTTCAACTCAAACGACGCGAATTTCTGGTCGTACATTCTAGTAAACAACGGTTCAAGGAGAGTAAAATCTACCTCACGGGTCTCGTAAAAGCAACAAATTTGTAAGTTTTTCACTTTTTATTTCGAACGGCTGATACTACTTTTAAGCGTTGATATTTCGTAAAATTATTTTCCGTGCAATTTTCTGGCCGTGATTTCTAGGGATTAACGATTCGAGCGTGCTAAACTTACTACATTGTCCTGCACATGCAAAGAATTTTTGCCTTGCCCTTTAATGATAGTTTTCGGGTACAGATCACGGTTACTGAGTTAATACTTAAAAAAGGAGTTCGGTTTTCGCGTGCAGTTTTACGCGCAATTCCCTCGTCATGAAAAGAATTCAGTTCCTATTTAATTTCCCAGCAAACCTGAAAATTGAAACTCGCGAAATTCGGCTTCCGTATTTTCCAAAAACTGATTACAGGCGAAATTATTGAGAAAAAGGTATTACCCCCTGATTTATTTTTAGATATTGAACTGCAAATATGGAACATAAAATTTAGAAATGAGATACCTGTTTCAGCATATGTAGAACGTTCTGTACCTTCCCCGACGGATGTTCGACCGGTAACTCTGATCTCATATCCTGTAGCCTTTTTCAGACCGGTTATAGTTATAGCATTCATGTTAATATTCACACTAATATTCGTGAACCTCTCGTTTGAATTATAAGGTCTGTAGTACACTGTGTAGCCAAGAAGAATTCCATTTGCCTTTTCGCTCGATATTGAGCCCCAATAAATACGAAGACTGTTGAAATCTCGGTCCCATGCAGACAGCCATGGAACAGCACTGGGAACTAAGGAAATAGAAAGTAAATGTAATATGGTTAACAGCAACTTAATTCAACGCACCATGCGCAGAAGTTGATAATTCGTACAAAAATATACAAGATTCGTGAGTCCGTCGGTGCGCAAATACATCTAAGGTCTAGAAATAAAAAGCCAACGTTTTTAATGATTTGCTGAATTCCAGCCACGAGCTAGCACTCAGTTTGCGGGTAGGTAGGTACAGCAAAGGTCGTTAAGATAGGTCACCACGAGTGTGGCTTTTGAAGTAATTGTCAAAGATGCCCGCCATTAGAATTAGAGGGTAGTTGTTGAATGCGAAATACAAACTAACCAGGCAAAAGTTTTTAAAACACAAAACCAGAAGATAACTGAGTGTGATACGACACTGGTCTGACCCTTAGGATACTTCATTTTCACTTAAATTATCTAAAGCAGTTTCTCAAACGAAGAATTTTTTTCCAATACGTCAGCGTGAAGACTTCAGTCGATTTAAACTTCAAAGTTCAAAACAGAAAAGAAAGTCAAATTAAACCTTCAATCTTGTGATAGGGCGCCTTAGCCATTTGTGAGTTGCATTAGATTGTATGTATGTATGTATTGTATGTATGTATGTATGCATTGTATGTATGTATGTATTGTATGTATGTATTTTATGTATTGTATGTATTGTATGTATTGTATGTATGTATGTATGTATTGTATGTATGTATTGTATGTATGTATGTATGTATGTATTGTATGTATGTATGTATTGTATGTATTTACGAACCTTCGACCTCCCGCACAACAGTCCAGTGCACTATCCATTGGGCTAATTGGGCGGCGGTTAGATTGAGGTACATAGGTTTTTTTTTAATAGACGAAGAAGCGACTTCTGCGTGGAAGAGACCTGCTACTTCTCAAGCGAATATTGACTACTAAAGCTTAAATTAACTTTTATGGATTCTACCAAATCCCAGCAAATACCCTGATTTTCCTTATCAGTTCCTTCATGTTCTCTTAAGTCTCATCGTTTATTTTCCTAATTATTAATAATTTTCATTAATCATCATCCTAATGGATTAGTAGATCTATTGAATTTACTCACCACCCTCTGGAGTTGTAACCTCAATAGCTGCACTGTTTTTCAGTGAGATTACACCAGTTATCCGATCTCTTACAAGAGCTACAACTTTCACTCGGTACTTTGTGTAGGGTCTAAGGCCTCTCATCCCCGTACTCAAAAAGGAGGAACTTGTGTTTTTGGAAGGAGCATTTGTCACATTCAGCACAAGTATATCACCAGTATTATACTGTGTTATGTGCACGGTAGGTACATAACCATATATGTAGGTGGAATTTGAGTTGTCGTTATTAAGTCGAGACCAACTCACATCAATGGCTGTTGAGCTGACTTTACTAACTGTAACATTCCAATCATGTTGGTGGGGATCTTAGAAATGAAGACATTCAAAGAAAACTTATCAGTCGTCTAGGAAAACAATATCTTAAATTTTCTACTTTTGCAATATCTACGAATTTAAATATCAAAATAATTTTTACCTCTCTCTTTAAAATGCGAAAAACAGGACTCCTACACTTTTGTGTATGAATTAGTGTGTGCAGAAGGGCTACTACAGGCTTAGTGGTGAAATTATTTGAACCGCTGCATCTTTCTTCAAAACACAAATTGAGGCATTGCTAAGTCCAGAGGTCCGGCAGGATCAGTTCATCTTTCCTATTCTGATCACCAACTTTTATTTTCTTGGACTGGTGACCATAAAATCTCCATTTTGAAAAACTTTTCTTTTTCTATTGCTTGGAGGCTTGTTTCATGAATATTTAACGATTTTCAGGTACACAGGGAACGTGATTTAAAGGTGATTCAGTATCCACACAGTATCCGTGACGTCGAGCAGACCAAATGGTCCTATTATAGCAGGGCTGTTTATTCGTCAACATCGTGTCTAACATGGTTTAAAAATTCAACTACTGCGAAAAAAAGAAAGATTCTTTTATTAAAAAAATAACATCCCTTGTCTCATAAAACTACTTGGGATTTAGCACTACGAAAATGTTATCTTCTCTTTAAAGGTGATTCTTGTTAATTCTTTTTTAACAGAGAGACCTTTTAAGGCTTTATTTTGTATCAAAATTCATTTTTTGATCAGTGACTGATGTAACGGATGGCGAGAGTTCAAAAAAATATATTTTTATTCTCAAGGCATGCGGTGAAGAATATCCATTTTTTTCGGAAATTTCAATGGGTTTGTAAAACTTTCAAAAATGGTCAACGATTTTAACTCGAAGTGATCCAAAATGTATGAACATTAAATGTACTGTTTGGACTGAAAGTTCCTTCGTCGATAATCTTTCGAAGAGTCTTATTTAGAAAATGAGAGTTATACCAGTTACACAACTGAACTGAACAAGACATCTACATATGTTCGCATCTTCAACAAGAGTATTTATGACATATTAGCTCATGGAGAGCCTCTCTTTATAGTTTCCCAAATTAGTTATTAATGATGACTTTGGTAATATATGATTTTGACTGTAACAAGCAAAAATAATACAATAATAAACAACCCTTACTCTCTTCACTCACTTTCTGAAGTAGTGTTGGTCAGCACAAAATAATAGGCCTTCAATCTAAAGTAAGAACCGTACGAGGTAAGACTGACTGTGACCTTTCTGTCGAACACCAAAATTACAAATGAATCCCATCCTTGACAAAAATCCTTGCTCTGTCTCCCAGACCGTATCGAAGTCCGTGTATACCTAAATAGAGATGGGAAAATTGTCGAACAAACGTTTTACGGATTAAACGCATTACTTGATACTGGTGACGCACTGAACCCACGTAATACGTCCTCTTATACAATGATTGCCAATAATTTACTTAATTGAAGGGACCGACAGAGTCCATCACTACAGAGTTATGGCAGGTTATGATGTCTAATAGATGGAAGACGCCACAAATATAATAACTTGAGCGAATGTACCGATTAAAGTATGCTTGTGTTGCTGGATAACGCAAATTTAGACAAGGTCATTGGAATAGTTAAAAAAATTCCGAGTGCTTTATAAAGTTTTTGCAATTATTATTTTGTAAATGCCCCTATTGGGTTGTTTTAGGAACGATCTATTTTCTTTGAAGCAGATCTACAATTTCTAGGGTTAATGGGTTTACAATACCAGCTGAACTATAGCAGTTCCCATCTGAAACTTAGCTTGCGCTTCTTGACTTTGACTAAGTCAGCTGCTTTTTAGAGGCAACCTGTCCGTGAAAGTTTCGAAATAAATTTACAATATATATGATTTAGATACGACTATTTTTTTGGCACTCTTCGAAAGAAGTTTTATGCATTTATTTTGGCAAATCGAAAATATAATTGGTTATTTCCTACCAGCAATTGACTGTATAATGTTCAAAAACCAGTAGTATGGTGGAGTCCTTGAATGGTGAAGAAATCATCCAGTTGCAAGATTTATAGTATGATGAGGTGTCAGCTACATCAATGAAACCAGTTGTTCCATTCATCGCGCGTCCACACGCTGTTAAGTTAAAATATAATGAAAAGTAGCTGTGAAAAACTAGAAACAGGTATTAATTTAGTTGCTAGTTTCATCCTCTTCCGTCCTTGCGAAAGTAAAATAGACGGCCTTACGAAAAAAGTCCCGTTGGTCCTAAGCATCCTTTTATTTTTGGGATGCTAACGTCGAAAACCTCGTCTTCACAGAAAACCTAATGGCTTCTAAAAATGTACCTGACTGAGTTTAGTAGTTTGAGAATTGTTTCGTTTATTCTGCCACTTTCTGACCGCTTACGATCTGTACTGTAAATTAGTATTATTGTAGCAAGCTTATACCTATTTTTTAATCTTTCCCCTTAACATTAGCAACAATAGCGATTGCCATGTCTCGGCCCCTATTTCAAAGTTGAATCCCTCAAGCGACGTTGGCTGATATTCACATTTTGTCGAGTTGATATTAAGTGGAGCACAGCCTCTGTTAGAAGTATACGACTGGTTGAGAAATTTGTTTTCTTTGCCATTAGCTCGCCAAATTTTAACACTGCGTACAGACCATTTTGTGAGGAATAGTCCCGTGTAGCTCACGTGTTTTTCTGGGTCACAGAGGATCTTAAGCAAAGTCAAAAGGTCGCACCATAATCACAAACGACCCGCTTTTTTCTTCAACCGGGCGACCGTGTTTTATTCCAAATGAATACATTCCCTCTTTTCAAGTATGGCATTTCACTTTTCTTTTTTCATATGTAGAACGTTATTAAAAAAGTAACATTTAGAAGTGAAATTTTGCTCACTGTATACCTGTGTATGTATATGTAGAATACTCTGGACCTTCCCCGACAGATGTTCGACCTGCAACTTTGATATGAAATCTTGTATCCTCCTTCAGACCTTTTATACTTAACTCACGAGTTGTTGCGTTCACACTAACATTCGTGAAGCTCTCGTATGAATTATGAATTCGGTAGTGCACAGTGTAGCCAAGAAGGACTCCATGAGCATCTTCGCTAGATATAGAACCCCATTCAATCTGAAGACTACGGAAACCTCGCTTGCTTACATGCAGCCATGGAACAGGACCAGGAACTAAAAAACGAGAGAAAGGAATTTGTTTAACAGTGCGGAGAATTTTTAATGTTAGAAAAAAAAATTAAAGAGTACTTCCTTTTATTAATGCGGGAAGAGGTTTTGGTTTTTTGCATCCTTCATTTTTTCTCTCTATAATTTTGAAGTCATTTTCTGATGTTTTGCTCACAGGCGAAAAGAAATATATGTTAGAGCTCGTTGCGCGCCTACGACAAGGAATGTCACGGTTCTGTGGCAAAAGAGACAATGCACAAGGACATTAGGATAGAACTGCCACGAATGTGCCTTTTAATGAAATTGCGAAGGACTACAGGAAGTGGTTGGATCAGTGCTAACCAAATGGGATAAAGGTGGGAATGAAGGAGTGCGACCTTGATTTCGAAACAGAATCAAAAGTAGGGAGCTGGGGTGTCGGAGGGACTATGGAGGACAACGTGATAAGCTGTGATGTTAGCACAATGGTAAGAAGCTTAAGGGGGAATGATTAGTAAATGTCGCTACTTTTTCTTGCATAGGATGGTGGTTGAACCGAATATTTCACCTGTCTATTTCAGAATATTTTTCATGTCTCAGCCACGCGAAAGAAATGGATATTTGGCAGCATGTAATCCGAAGTTCATGATTCGTTTCGAATATTAAGGCTTATAAAAAAAAAACACGTCACATGCGCGCTGTTGTCACGCATTTCGCCTTTTAAGAATTGTTGTTTTTTATGAAAACGTCTAACCAATGTTTAATTTCATTCTTAAATCTTGTCATAATTTTCTCTTTCTTGTTAGTTTCCTTTTAAGTTGATTCCTCAGTATATTGCACTGCACATCCCGACTGTGCATAAATTTCACGTAATCGGAAAAATAAGCGCTAGCACGCACACTCCGAGAACATGGTATTGTTTTTCAATCAATAGAGGAAGTAAACAGGTACGATGGTCTTTTTCCCTCGACGAGCACGGTAATCGATACACGTTATTTTCCACAAATTATATGACTACGTTGTTCCATACGCTCAAGACTTTCTACCTCATTTATTTGTTCAAATTTTACTTTAAAAACCCTCTTAGCTATGACGCATCTGAACACTGACAAGGAAGCAAAGGATGAGTGTAGCCTCTAAGAATTCTTAGAGTAAACACAGATGATCAGCTCAGTGTCCCTGCACACCTTAACGACATCTATAAAAAAGCAAGTAGGAAAATAGGGGCGCTAGCAAGACTACGTAATCTTATCTCTTGCGAGACCAAGCTTTACCTGTACTTAACAGCAATTCTTCCTCACCTGACGTATTGCCAAACCGTAAGGCATTTTTGTAAACAGTCAGTGAAAAGAAAGCTGGAGAGACTACAAGAACTCGCCATATGAGCAATTCACAAGCGTAGGACAGAAACTTACGAAGATCTACACTGTACAGATTTGCCTTCTGTCCGCAATAGGAGGCTTCAAGAGATTGTAATTTTTAATGTACATAGCTAGAAGTGGTTTGGCCCCCTACTACACAGGAAAACTTTTCAATTTTGCAAGCAAAGCGGGTACTCTCTAGGCAATGCAGGTTTTGATATATCTCGCTACTCAACAGTAAGATATGGAAAACACTCCATTTGCTACCACCCGTAATCGTATCTGCAGCTCATCAGGTACACCTCATCAGGCTTCAGTGTTCCCCTCCAGATTGCAGTAGTTAGAACTTAGTATGAATAGACTTTCATTTTAATTCCCAACGTCTTTCAGCTTCGAAAAAATATATTTCCCTGCTCCCACCGTACTGCCGTGAATGTAAGTATAGCAATTGACAGTAAACGAAAATTATGCCGGTATGCGTGGGATCTGAAAAACATATGCTGTGCCTCTTGGAAATGCTAGATAGATAATTAAGTGGCCCACCTAGCCCACCCATTTCAAAAGATTTTATGGCATGCCATTTGTAACGTATATCAGGGAGATAGTGTGGAAGTAAAAGAGCACGATTCAATCCCTCTTTGATTTCATGCCATCGAAATAAATCTATGGATAAGAAATGCAAGACATTATAGTTAACTGCGTTTATGGTTATGTAAATACTGGAGTTTTAACATTAATGCTAATCAGGGTTATTAGATTAAGGACATTTCTCACCGCTCTCGAGAGTCTGAACCTCAACAACTGTGCTGCTTTTCGGTGAAATTTTACCAGTCATGTGGTTTCTGAGAAGGGCCAGAACTTTCACTCGGTATTTTGTGTAGGGTCTAAGGCCTCTCACCACCGTACTCAAGGAGGAACTTGTGTTTGAGGAGGAAGCATTTTCCACATTCATCAAAAGTACGTCACCGATACTATTCCGTAGCATGTGCAAGTCAGCAACATAACCAAATATGGAGGAGGAATTTGAACCGTTGGTATTCGACCGAGACCAACTGAGTTCGACCTCTGTGGAGCTAACGTTTAAAACTGTAACATTCCATCCAGCTTGGTGAAGAGCTTCAATGTCAAGGAATACAAAATAAACTTTATAGACACTTGTGGGTTGAAAATAGCTCATGATGATCTTATTCTCAACGCTACTTACGACTGTGAGCAGCGAAATGAAATCTTTTTATTTATGTGGGTGTACGGTAATAAGTTTCGGGCACAGTTTTCCCTATACGGACCTCACCTCGCCTTCGGGGGATAATTGTTGAATATAACCTAACTTGGACAAAAAGTACACTCTGAGTGGTCAAAAAGGGATTGTATATTTGCCTGCATACTTTTTCCTAGTCTAACTGGTTAAAGGGGGTAAGTTTCTAAAGAAACTGTGGTGCTGCGTCGGTGGGGGGTAACAAGGTAATTTAGTAATATCAACTAAGTTGAAACTGTAATTGGCCACCGTGAAGAGTTAATAAGCTGACGTTTCGAGGGTTAACCCTTCGTCAGAGCAAAGGGTTAACCCTCGAAACGTCAGCTTTTTAACTCTTTACGGTGGCCAATTTACAACTTCAACTTAGTTGATATTATTAAATTAACCGACTGGTTGCTCCGTTTTTTTCGCTGCGCGGTTTAAGTGTAAGAACTTATTTACATTAGAACAAAAACCACTCGCAAATTGAATGTGTACGCAAGATTTATGGCAATTCCGTTTGCTGTCCGCGACTTCAGCTTACATTTGATAGTTTTAGCGGCCAAGTCTAGGCGTTTTAAACACTTTCTGTAACTTTTAACGAGGACTCCAAGAAAGCTCTAATTCAAGCTGAGACGATAGAAAAAAATTTGTTTGAAGGAAGATGTATATGGGAAGTAAAAGAAGCAGCTCGACGGTGTTTGAATCAGTGCACACGGTTCGACGCTGTTGTCTTTCGATGATTCCGCTTTTGTCGTGATGCGGTCTTAAATTCTTGCAATCAAAATACATTTCATTAGGTAAAGTTCTATAGTGCCATTGATCTTTCTAGGCTTGAAAATTCTAAAAACTTTCCGTACAATGAGATTATCGGATTGTAATCGCTACTTCTCGTTAGTTTTCTTTACAATTTTTGCTCAGCTTCTTTTGTGTATTCAGCAATAAATTAATTACGGTCTTCGCTCTTCTGGCCGACAGTTCATTCAGTTTCCGGTGCTTTGATTCAGTTTATCTCACTTTTTGACAGTTTTCATAAGAATCAGCGACTTGATCACAAAATAAAATAAAATTTATCATTATCTCTAGCAAACTTCACTCATATTTATGTCATAAAAGTAACAATGAACTACAATTTCTATCAGCTAACCAGCCGATAAACCACTTGGGATGTTGGGAAAGCACTCGAAAAGTTTGTAAACCGCGAGGCGTTACAAACTTTTCACGAGTTGTTCCAACATCCTGCGTGGTTTATTAGCCGTTACACCGATAGAAAGTGTGGTGTATGGCTTAAATATATCCATTTTTTATTCATTTACCGTCCACTTGTGAGTTAAAAAAATGAACTTTCAGTCGAGTTCTGGAGCCGTACCGTCGGCTAAATGTAAATTCAACATAGTTGTCCAACACCAATACTGCAAAAGGTATCTGTTGGTAATAGCAGTCCTGGTACCTTGTTTGTCGACTGCTTCCTACTCGTGCATAGCTAAGAAACAATAATAAATGGTAAATGATGATATTAAGTGTACCTGTGTATACATTTGAACCAATTATGAAGACAAAAGCCTTGTTGTCCTTCTATACATTTTTCAGTGTTTATACTGTAAAGTGTCCGTCCTCGCGCCTTGGACTGCGAGTCCTTAAAGGACCCTTCTAAAAGGTTAACAGTGTTGTGTTAGGTGTATTTTTCCATCTATTAATTGTTTGGTAGCCATTTTATATGCCCGTATGTGATCGCTTAGTGCCTGAAACCTAACTTACATCTCTTCGTCTTTAAAAATTCATATCATAGCAGACTCGATTCTTGGATCTGAACTCACACCTTTTGTTCAGGCCATGTTCAGGGGACGTATGTTCATATGAGCCCATGTCCCTAAATATCGAGAATGTGTCGACAGATTCAAAACTTCGTAATTCATTTTGTTTTTCCTAAAGGACCATTTTGGTGAACCTTCTTCAAAAAGTATATCATCTGTCCAATCACGATTTGGTTTCTACGAAAAGTCGAAAACTTCAAAATACGCGTAAATGGCAACAGGACTGAGAAGCAAATAAATTACAAAAACAACCGACGCTGTTGCTTCATATACCCTCCTCAATCATGTTAGCTTATTCTGACTACGGCATTTCAAACATGGCGTATATGCTACTGGTTTTCCATTGAACCAGAGTACCTGCACAATTATTTCAAAATGGTGTTTACAGGTCGTGGAAAATGGCTGGGTTGAAATATAGAGAAAACTAGGTGGAGTAAACAGTCATACCTGGCGACTTTATTAAACTCTCTAACAGCCCGTGCTGAGGAGTTTTAATAAAGTGGAGGGTTGGAATATAAACTAAGTGGAGCTCCGCTTTTAGGGTTCGCTAAATCTTTGTATATGTGATCTAAACAAGTTACAAACTTAAGTTCTTACCTACAGCCATAATAGTCTTCAAAAACAAGAAGAATGCTGGAGTTTACTACCGGACCCTGGATTATCCAATTACAGTCTCTTGAATAATATGAGCGCGCACTCCTTAAACTGATTTCACCCGAAGGTTCATCAAAGTTCTGCCCACACCCTGTAATATGAACTTGGTAGTGTTAGGCAATTTTCTTGTTAACATGAGGATTTTGGGAGTTGAGTGTAAAAGGTTGGGAAATACGAAGCTTTCGACTGTTCCACAGTCAAGTATGATAAAAAACTTATGAAACAGATTTAGAAACGCAACGGGAAATTAGAACTGTGTTATGCTAGCTAATGAATTATCTAGGAGATGCTCCTCTACTTTCAGTTGCACCGGTGACCATGTCCCGATCTTGTGGTATGCGTGTATGAAATGAATAATATCAATGATCGTTTGGGTGGTTTTTAGAATAGATCTAACCATAAAACGCCCAAATTCCAAACTTTCTTTGAATGTGGCCCATTGAAGTAAGGTTCTGCGGCTTTTTGTCGACATGCCTCGATTGAGCGAGATATTTTTCACCATTCACCTTTCAAAACGTTGATTATAACATAGCGCGCGCGCTAGTCCTATCTAATTCCTATTGCGTCAACATGAACAAAATCTTTATGTACGCACGGCCGTGCTCAATAAAATGACGTGTGCAGTTTCAAAATAGCTGCAAAATTTTCGTCGTGTGAGTTCCTTAAGTTAAAGTCTCGGTAAGTGATATCAGTAAATGGAAGACCAACCAAACTTTTCTTTGGCTTTCGACTTTCCCGCATGTAGTCAAGCCAATAAGCTCAACGAAAATTAAACGAAACACAACAGGCCCGTTTCCCGATTTATCGGAACAGGAACTGGAGAAAATTTTAGGTGAAAGACATTCAACTAAGAAGACTACAAATGGGTCTGAGGCGACTTTTAAAGGTAAACGTCTCTGTTGATGACTTTTTTTTGGTGACATTTGTTAACTCTACCGAAAACCATTTAATTACAAAATCAACAAAACAATCGGAGACGCCAACATTTTCGGGCAACTTTCATTTCAAAAAAACATTACAAAAACGTCATTCAGCGCCCAAATTGTTTTCGTATGTTATAAAAGAATTGTTTCATGCTTTTAGCTGTGCGTATATCCAGTTATGGATGCACTTGGGAAGTTTGGAGAGCACTCAAGAAGCTAGAGTTGCTCTCGGCTGCCCCTCGAGCAACTCTTACACTTCTCTCGTGCTCTCCAAACTCCCCGCTTGCATCCATAACTCGATATACGCAAGCTAAGCATGAAACAATTCTTAAGTGGAGCATAGCTTCATTGTTTTGTAGTATGCGACAGGTTCAAAAATTTGGTTTTTTTTCGATATCACGTGTAGCTCGCAATTATTATTCATTGGTTAAAAAAAAGGTACAGCGTAAACACTACTGTTCTCATCGTAGGGCTCCACGTATTTCACTCCGTAGGGTTCACGTATTTCACTCCACGTATTTCACTTCACGTATTTCACTCCACGTATTTCACTCCGTAGGGTTCACGTATTTCACTCCACGTATTTCACTCCGTAGGGTTCACGTATTTCACTGAGCCAAAGAGGATCTTTTGGGAAGTAGAATTTGAAAATTTTACTGGGTTAAGCTAGTCAAACTACCAGGTTACAAATAAGAATTATTCGCTTTTTCATCAACCTCCCGAGTTTTACTCGATTATAAAACAAATTCTTACTTTTCGCATATGCCTTTTTAACTTTTATTTCAGTGCGTTGAACGTTATTAGGAAACTTTGCACTAAGAAAAGAGATTTTGTTCACTACATACCTGTGTTAGCATATGTAGAACGCTCTGCACCATTCCCAACAGATGTACGACCTGCAACTTTGATTCTATATCTTGTATCTTCCTTCAGACCGGTTAAATATAAATTTCGCGTATTTGCTTTCACACTAACATGCGTAAAGTTCTCGTTTGAATTAACAATTCTGTAGTGCACTGTGTAGCCAAGAAGAATTCCATGAGCATCTTCGCTAGATATTGGACTCCATTCAATTTCCAAACGGTGGACATCTCGACTGCGCACATACAGCCATGAAACAGCGCCAGGAACTAGGAAAAGAGAGAGAGAAGAGCCGGTTTTTTGCTTTGCTAAATACACTTCCTGTTAGAAGCAATAAATAAATAATAATAATAATAATAATATAGTTTATTTCGGACCACTTGCAGCCTAAGGCTGAATTACTGGTACAGTTTTAAAAATATACATACTGGAAACCTAAATAAATAAATACACACAATACTTTATACAGGTTGATACTTAACGGTAACGAATTTTTTAAAACGCTCAGTTCTGTCAAGTGTGTGGTGAGAAGATTTGCCTGATCGCAGACACATTTGCGTTGTGCTTTGAAGTACCCGCTCATGAATATGGGGGTATAAGGGATGGCCTGGGCGAATTTTACGAATAAACCGCTCGCACGCAGCTGCGCGGCTCGCCGACAAGGTCCGAATGGCGGCCTTTTCAAGCGTATGATCGTATGGAAGGTCAGGCCATATAATAGAAAGAGCGCTTTTTTGGACGTCTTCCAGTGCATTATCCAGGTACTTTGGCAAGTCAGCAAACACAGCTGACGCGTGAGTAGTTTAAACGACGGAACTTGCTGGACAAGGGATCCGCCGACCATGATCGGCATGGGCACATAACTATTATAGTGAAGAAAGTCAACCGTGAGGACTTTACATTTACGCGGATTGAGGCGCATGTTATTCTGACATGCATAAGAGTTCATATCATTTACGATGTAATTCAATACAGAGGGGGAATTTCTAGGAATTATCTCGATGACAGTGAGGTCATCCACGTATTTAGCACGAGGAGCCCAGGCACTCACAAGATCGTTCACCATGACCGCAAAAAGTAGAGGGCCAAGCCTCGTGCCCTGAGGGACACCGCCACGTAACGTGCGCGCAAGAAAAGGTGGTACCAATGCGTGTAACCTGGGATCGCTCGTGCAGAAAGGAAGCTATCCACCTTATGAGGTAATTATGGATCTCATACTTAGATAGCTTGGATAGTTAGAAGAAAAAAAAATAGAAAATACTGAAGAAAAAAGTTTCTATTCCTAACCAGGACGTTTGTACAATTCCAAGAAGTGTTTGCGTGGCTCATTTTCATCAAATGGGATCGCAGTTTATGCTGAAATGTTCTACAAATACGTTAGTTTCAAATTGTGGTTCATGTCTCACACATGGATACTTAGCGAGGCAAAGGTCCATAATCTGTCTCTCGTAAGTTTTCCGTACTTATTGTGGTTTTTGGAAGTCGCGTTCTGAACCATGAGTAGAAAATACATAAAAAATTGTCTTAAAATGGTTTACGTATTAGTCTAGTGGGAGGTCTGTATGGAACACCACCATGAAAACTTCTCTTCAAGAGACCTAAATAGACTAAATATATCTTATTACACGTTTTGTTGTGTAGTATCGCTGAGTATTTTTACGAGTTGTATTTTGACGAGCTTGAAGGGCGAGTCAAAATAAAACTAACGAGTAAAAATACTCAACGATACTACACAACAAAACATCTAATAAGTTATTTATTATCCAACACGCCAAATTGTTATTACAGTGCGGGCCAATTTCATGGATATTTATTTACAGGGAGTGCGTGAAAGAGGTATCCGAAGCGGAACGGAATTGGCGCGTTGTCGTTTTGCTGTTTCTATTTTCTTCAATGATTGAAGAAATTTCCAGGTCGTCTAGCTGCTTTCTTCGTTCGATTTATCTAATAAACTTGGATCTATATTTGCCAGCCACTTGGACTCTTCGTCATCAGAAATATGATTCCAATTGTCCGCCATTTTTTTTTCGTAACTTCAATCCAATTCTTTGCTTGCGCGATGCGAGAAAACCTGTCTAACCGGTTCTCTCGAGTACAAATACCGCGTGATATTGTCTCTGGCGTTATTTGTACTCTAGTGAGTGTAGTTGGATAATAATGTACGTTATTCTTCTTTTCCATAGAGGAGCGCCACTGAAAATAAAGCTACTGTGACTGCTATAGTGCCACTGAAACTTCTGTTGGTCGGTCTTACTGGTCTCTTGCCTACCACGTGGAAAGCCAAAAATGACCAACAAAAGTTAATTCACCTGACACACATGGAAATTAGTATCTTTGAACATTATTATCAGTAAGCAACCCAGTAAGAATTGCATTTACTAGAATAAAGGAGATTTGCTCACCGCTCTCCAGAGTTTGAAATTCATGAGTTGGACTGCTTTTCGACAAAATTACACCCGTCTGCCGATCTCTGACGAGAGCCACTACTTTCACTTCATACTCTCTGTAGGGTCTAAGGCCACTCACCACAGTACTTAGGAAGGATGAACTTGTATTCGAAGTTGGAGCATTTGTCACATTCAGCGTAAGTATGTCACCAGTATCATTCTGTAGCAAGCGCACTGTAGCTACATAGCCATATATGTAGGTGGCATTTGAGGCAATCTCACTAAGTTGACACCAACTCACATTGACCGTTGTTGAGCTGACGTCACTGACTGTAACATTCCATTCACGTTGGTGGGAACCTTAGAAAGGAAACATTCAAAGCAAACACACCAGTCTTACAAGTAGATAAAAGCTTAAATGTTCTACTCTTGCTCTCTCTACGTACGAAATCAGAGATCAAAATGATGATTACGAAATCAGAGATCAAAATGATTATTACCTCTGACAATAAAACGCGAAACAAACGACACCTTCACTTTTGTGTCGTTTAGGTGCCTGCAAAGGTCTACTGAATGAAATCATTCTAACTGCCGCATAAATTTACCTATGTTTGAATCAATTTTTCTTTCCAATATTGTTCACCGAGATTTAGTTTTCGTGGCAGACAGAAAGATGGTGAACATAGAAAACAATACCTGTTGTTCACTTTTCTTTTTTTGAAGCATATAGGGTTATTTTAACGAACTATACAATTGGTAGGTACGCGAGGAAACTAGTTAAAGATGAATCAACATTCGTGGGGAATTCAGAATCTACTCATATCTGACGTCGACCAGACTGAACGGTTTGGGTATGTGCATTCCTAACATGGTTGGAAAATCCAACCTAACGGAAGGAGTTTTTAAATCGGGTACATAAAAAAATTTTATATCAGATAAGATCCCTTTTCTAAATGACTTCCTTGCATTTATCTGTGGTGGCCAACTAGAAAGCCTTTGCTACTTTGGCCACCACACACATTTTTATAATCTGTACTTTATTTATTTTATTCTGTAATCATTTGTTGCAACTTTACTTTTCTATCTATGTTCCTTTTATGTAAATAGTGTGAAATAAATGAACCATGGATAACTGTTTATCTGGTATTCTAGGTTTTCCAGTTTAATTTCGAACACTAAGAGACTTTTTCAATCGTTTAATTCGTATCGAGAGTCCTAAAAGAATAACCTCTTATGTTTCAGTTGTCATTGACATCGTCATCATCGTCATCATCATCATCATTATTATTATTATTATTATTATTATCATCATCATCATGTTTATCATATCATTTTAATATATGGCTGAGGCTAAGGCGCTATAGCGCGCGCTTTGATTGGTTAAGGGCGAGATTAGAGCAGGGCATTATACAAATTGGAAATTAAGCAAATTAGATAGAGCACAAATTGTCAGACAAGTACCGCAGCGGTTCTTTCCGCTTTTTGAAAATTCGAGCGCATGAAAACGACGGAGGCCGATTAACAGTCAGAGAAAATCGACTCGATTGATACAAAAAGTTAAAGATCTTGAAAACAGTTTAGGTGCAGTTTTAAATCACCTATGAGATTGTGCTGGAAGGGGCGAAGTGAACAAACAAGAATACATTGACGCTTACATCTAATATAAGAAACCGTAAAAGGTTCGCATTAGAGAATCGTCATTGACCTGATTACATTTCAACGAAATTTTCCTTAAATAAATTTTTTAAATAGGCCATTTTTGACTTACCAGGTAACTATGGAGGGCACAACTGAAGAACAATCAAAATTTGCCGTGTCGTGTATAAAGCTATGTGGAAAACACCATCTGTAGATCTGTCATACATCCTTAGCAGAATTCCACAAGAAAAATAAGTAGTCTCAACAATTACCGGAAGTTTAAATTTTGTCAAAGTTAGCTTAGTAATTCTCGTCAATAGATTCACACGCCATTTAAACAACCAAGTGTAATTAGCTTCCAGGAACGTCAGATGTAAATAATCGAGTGGTCTTTAACAAAAACCGCAGCAGTATTTATGATTACTTCATGTAGTTTCAGATTTTCAAAAGGCTTGTAAAGTTCAGTTCATCCATAAATCTCCCAGAACGCGAAGATATGTTGTCGAAAGCGAAGGCGAAGATTGAAGTATTCTGTGCAGTGCATTCCAAAGCATTTTTTTCGCCAAGGGCCGGACATGTTTGAACTATTTTGAAGCACTTTTCTGTCTTTTCTGTATCCACTCGAGTTGACGTTTTGCCTTGAAAATCGGACAAAATTTTTCCCATCAAATTGCGACATCACTATATTGAAATACTATTTTTGGGCTCTGAGAATCATTTTTTTTACCGAGAATAAATGTGTTTATCTTGACAGAATACGTGATACAGTGGCGTAGTTACCTGATTGTGTTCTTTTGCCCTGGGTTTGAGTGGATAAATAAACAGGCAAACGCGCACATCGCCGAATGTAAATTGACGACTTCCACTTGAGTAATGGTTTCGTATCTTCAGTTTGTGACCCATACAATAAACACTTAAATAACCTCGACCGTTCGGTCATTAGAGGAAAATCTCAAACCTCAGCCAAGCCGTATTGACCACGCTATTGCTCGGTCAATACGGCAAGGCCTCACTTTGAGATGTAATATTTCATAAACTCGGCGTTAGTGTTTCATCAGGGTTTCCAAACACAAGAAAACTTTTATTGTTATCGAGTGTTTGGAATCCCTGATGAAACACTGACGCCGAGTTTTTGAAATAGTTTCTCAAAAGGGCTTAATTTATTAACAATAAACATGAGATCAGAAAGATCACATAAATAGTCCGTTTTTGTTTTCTTCTCAAAGGGCCTAATTTATTAAAAATATACACAAAATCAGAAAGACCACGCAAATAGCCAGTTTTTGTTTTTTTTTTCTCAAAAGGGGCTAATTTATCAAAAATACAAAATCAGAAAGACCACTTAGTCGCTTTTTGCTTTCTTCTCAAAAGGGCCAAATTCATTAACAATAAACACAAAGTTAGAAAGACCACGTAAATAAACAGTTTTGGTTTTCTTTTGTTTCATTAGCACATGTCCATAGCTGTTATTCAATGTTATAAAAGGTGTTGCGTTTTTTCACAACTTCGACTTTTCAATTAGAAGCAGTCACACTTTGCATTGGCGTCTTCATTTGCAATTTTTAAAAATGGAAGAAGCAGCCACGGAAAGGCCTTCCCGGTTTTCCCGCCGAAAAGTTGCAAAGAGGAAATTTCTTTCAGCTCGGATGCTCAAAACCTAAAAGTACTCGGTACAAAGCTAAGTGGGCTGTTGATGTTCAAAAGTTCCGAAATTGGCGAGCTGCGCGCGAGAAAAATTTCCTTTACTTGAGCCGGGGAGTGTGTTCAAAGATTATATTCACCGCGTGCAATATCTTGAATAAAGATTGGAAGACCGGGACAGCATTTCCCTAAACTTATGGCTGACAATTTTCGTCCAGGAACTGGCTAATGGGACGGGTGGTCGCTATCCGCCTCGTTCGTTGTACGGAATTGCTTGTGGAAGTTAATTAACACTTGTTCAAGTACTAAATTCTTTTGCAAATTGATTTATAAACACACGTGTGTTTGGATCTCTTCTTTACCGGGTATCAAGGGGCATCCATGTGACCCAAATAAGGCCACCCAATTGGTTAATTACCTCATGCATAATTAATGAGTTTGAGAATAGTCCGTATCGACCTTACTCTCGCTTATCAAGTAGTTAATCAACAGTACTGTTCTTTTTGCTGTTGTCATTACTTACTCAACTACTCATTTGTTTAATATTTTTTAGGGTGTAGTCTTGGATGACATCTTTGACCATTAGAGAATTGGTGAATCAATGTCGCTATGAAACAGACCTGTGCAATTATGAAGGCAGCTTACGCAACAGAGTACACCGTATTTTTTTAAGGGTTATAACAGATGGCATTTGGTGAAGATGTTAATTTTATCGGAAAGTTAGGAGCGTTTTTAAAAGTTAAAAGCGCAGTGATTTTAACTCGAAGTGATCTGGTGAAAGGAATGAATATTGAAGGTACCACTTGGGCAGGAATTTCATACGTTGAAAATCTTTTAAAGAGTGTTGTATAGGAAATAAGAGTCTCCGTTAATAGACACCTTCGGGAGGCAGGTATGTCAGCTGATAATGTAAGAGGCTAAGATATTGTCCGACAATTTAGTATTTGGCCGAGAATCGAAGTTTCGAGGGCAAAGTGTAATTCTGAGGACAGCATCACAGCCAAGGACAGGATGAGCCGAGATACCAGCAAGCCAGAGGTTGGTTTATTAGCCTCATAATTCTTCCATTAATTTTCATATCGCATGTTGACAGCAAATTCTGTTGACTTTTTCCGGAATTTCCGGAGCAGCATTTAAGATCTGCTTTTTGATATCACTAACACTCGGACGCTAAAAGACGAGTTCTTTTTTTTGCCATGTAAAATAAAAAAAGATGAAAAAGAGAAATTCTTGAGCTGTCTTTTTAAGTTGGCTTTCTTCTTTTCGGCGGAAAAAATCGGAGAACAAAATTTCGACGGGGGTTATTGCGTGATAATTGTCCAATGATTTTCACTAGGTGATGGGAGCAGCCAATAAAGTTGCTAGGAAATTAATTGGTGGCTACATTTCATGACAACACTGTTAGATATCTGTATATAGATATCTGTATATAGTGTTGGCATAGTGGCTCACAGTGAGCTTCTCGGCCTTCAAGTTTACTTAGGGTAATGACAATTCGTCTTTCATAATCCCGCAACTTTGTAATGGATAATTTTTAATTTTTTAAAGCGTTAATTATACAATAGTCAACAGCTCTTACTCGTTTCACTTACCTTCTGGTGTGTTGTTCAGCACAAAGTAATGGGCCTTCAGTCTAAAATAAGAACCGTACGAGATAAGACTGACTGTGATATTCCTGCCCAACGGCAAAATTGCAAATGGGTCCCTTCCTTGGTAAAGATTCTTGTTTTGTCTCCAAGTCCGTATCGAAATCCAGGAAGTCCTATGTAAAAATGAGAAGATCGTCCAGCAGACATGACAGATCAAACGCATTACTTTATATGAGTGACACTTATTTAATTGACGAAAATGACAAAGTCCATCATTTCAGAGCTATAGGCAGATTGATAAGTAAAAAAAAAAGATACAATAATGGTCATTAGAGTGAACGAACCAATTTAAATACGCTTCTGTTGAGATGAAAAAGTCGACGCCATTTTACCTTTTGACTGAATAAACGTGAATCTAAACAAGAGCTATACGACATGAGGTACTGACGGGCCTCGCCTTTTTCATTCAACAAGTCGCAAACTATTAAATGCAAAACAGCAATCACAGGAATTCAACCGAAGTTTAAATGCAACCCACGGTCTTTTTAAAAGACGCGTTGGCGTTTCGAATGCGTCAAACACCTGTTTTTGAAATTGCCATGCCAAGTGGCGAATTCAAGAAACAAATCTCAAGAAAATCAGTTGCCTCCGACAATTTGAAAATAATCATCTACATGGATAGACACCATTATAGCATTACGTGACTGACGGAAATTTAATGTTTAAATTTGCACCTTTAAGATCGTTTCCCATTGGTCTACACCATGCGAGAAGTGGCTGTCAATGCGCGTATCAGATCAATTTTAAGGTTGTCGAGTCAGCTCTCTCTACTAGACAAGACAATTAGTTATTTCTTACCAGCGATTGACTGTATGATTTTCAAAAACCATTAGTATGGTGGAGTCCTCGACTGGCGAATAAATCATCCAGTTGCAAGATTTATAGTTTGTTGGGCTGCCGGCTTCGTCAATTACACCAGTTTTTTTAGTCATCACACCTCCACATACTGTTAAGTCGAGAAGGGATAAAACATAGCTGTATTTGAAGTCCATCGCTTTTAAAAGTGAAACATTGGAAACGGGTCATCCTTACGTCTCAAGGGTTATGGCATTACCAAGATGCAAGAGACGAACTTGCGAAAAAACGTATGCAAATATCCATTTCCAACCCCAGCTGCTGAAAAAGGTTTCTTTACAGACATACGTGGGGTAAATGAGACAGTTGATAAAGAAGCGATGTTATCATTGGTATCATTATCATTATTATTATAATTATTATTATTATTATTATCATCATTAACATCCTTATTATTGTTATTATAATTATTGGAGCCTTCCCGAATTAAAATTTGTGTTTCGTTTGGTAAATTGGCGTTGCCTATGATGACAGATATATTTTAATTAACACAACTCGTGATTGACATTAATTCCTCACAATGATTTAAAGTGTTAGCTTGTCGTGATTTAAACCAGTTTTTCAGAAGAATCAGTAAGAGAGAGAAGTCGATTTTTGTATCTGTTCGCTTACCCGAATCTCCTAACCTGAAGTGAGAAACCTGTTTTTACGACCCGTCACAGAAGTAAGTTTCCAGTTATGTTTTCTTGAATTTTGCCATGAGATTAAGACTAAATCTGCGTTTTCTGATTTCGAATTATAAATGCATTTCTCTTAGATCGAATAATCATTAAAGTTTGGATAATATTATACGGTTTGTGGTGGTCGTCTGGGCTGACCAGTTCCGAGTAAAGAACACTTTGTTTTTTCAAGAATATTGTTTCTTTTAAAACCACAGACAGATAATTTTCTTTTATCATGACTTAATTTAATACATAGCACTCCATGCATGAGTGGCTGATGGCATCTGAGCCACAAGTAATGTATTTGGGAAATTGTTATTGACACTGTGATTGTATTTTTTATGATTTATATGATTCTTAATGTTCTATAGTGCTTAACTTTTACTTCAAATTTTCTCTAAATTCATACATATTTTCATAGTTTTAATTTAATTCTTATTATTCTTGTTCCTCATTATTATAATAATTATTATTACCATTATCATTAGCATCATCATTATTATCATTTAATTATCATTAATATCTTTAGGATCAATATTTTTTCTTTTTTGATAAATCTTCATTATAATTATCATAACTTTCATCGTCTCATCATTATCGTCATTATCATCATTCCCATCATTGCTATTGTTATCATTATTATTATCAATGATTTATTTTATTTTTGATAGAGAGTATATCATGATCATTTCCATACCGACTCGTCCTAATTTTTTACCTCGAACTTTTATGGAACCGTTTACAACATTCTGGATAGCAAGGAAGACTAACATTTTCTTTAGTTGAAAAACAGTACTCTATTTATTCTTTGAACTAAAGCTAAAGCTTGTGCATAAGCTGACAGATCATTGAGCCAATAAAAATATAACTATTTACTATAACTATGTTGACTCAATCTATAAAAGGAACCAACTTAGAATTACCTGACGATGCATCAGCAACAGATGACGATGTGGGCCAAATGGCTGACGGATGTGGCGTGAGACTCGTTTCCTTTGGTACCGCTGTACTCAAAGCACTTGTTGGATTTACAGGCCCTGGATTAAAACAGGAAACTTGAACAGTGAGCCCTTGCTTGTCTCATTCTCCTATGAAGTTGAACTTTTTGAACACTATTTGAACAAAGTATCGCTCAGCTTCAAGAATCGTTCATCGGCTTGTAAAAGCTCATTTACTTCGAATGTTTGTCTACGGGTAGCTCAAAATGACTGATGGAAGCAAATTGCTCAAAGTACTCCATCATTTTAAATTATTTTCGTACCTGAGTTCTGCGAATATTTTTTTATTTATTTAATCAAATCTCCGATTTTTACAATCGCAAAGACAATTAAATCAATTAATCGCTCAATCTGAGGTAGGCTTAAAACAGAGTGCAAGACTTCTTTAAAATTAGGCCACTTATTATTACATCATACATATAACAAGAGAAATAATTAAGTAATAACTTTCAAAAAAAAATATCATTAAAAAAGATACAATTTAAAATTAGAAAAAAATCTACATTAAACTTATCATAATAAAAGGCTATCAAATTCTTACGATAGATTGGCAAGGTATTTGACTCTCTTATACTAACAGGTAATTCATTCCACAGTCGACAAATCAGAACAAGAAAAGTATTCTCACAGACGTCATTCCTGCTGAAAGGGACATCAAGTCTTAAATGATCAACATTCCTAAGCGGTTTGGTACAAAAGCGAAACGATAAACACTCTGAGTATTTTTAGGAGAAGATCATCGCTATGGTCGCATAACTCGAGTTTGTTTGCCATACTAGTATTGTTGTTCATACAAAAGTGTGGGCGCTTTTTTTCCTCTCCAATTGACAAGTGTCAGATCATAACAGATTCTTCTTAAAAAGTGTTTGAAAGTTTGCTTGGAAGCCTTTTAAGTTATCATTACGTAAGTAAAAATGTTTTTGTAGCCTAGTTCTTTTGGCAAGCATTCTGTCAAATGTTAGATGAAATTGCCAAGACCTGCCGGACCTCCCGTCTGGTGAATAACATAAATTTACTTTCAGTCGAATCACAAACATCTGCAAATCTTAATATCTAAATGCACGTCCATCTGGCAAATAAATTATATGTGCATTCGCTTTGTGGACTTTGGACCGACTTTTTCGAATATATTATTATACTTTTCACCATGAAAGCGCTTTACAGATAAGTCTGTTGTCATAACAAAGCCAAGACTGATGATATGAATCAAAACTAATCGTGAGAACCATACCTGATATAGATAAAGAAGGCAAAGAGCGAGAAACAAACGTCCATGAGGGCGTCAATTCAAGCAACAATGATGAATGTGACGTTGAAATTGACGACGACGACGACGACGACGATGCTGATGAAGACAAGGCTTCAGCGGAGCTTGTTGGAGTGATCTCTGATGAAAAAAAAAAAACAAACAAAAAACAGCGAGATACAAGTTACAAACCAGAAGAAAAATAGATAAAGAGGGCAAGTTTCTACAGAAACTGTAGCGCTGCGTCTGTGGGAGTATAAGAATACAAGTTGGTTTTATCGTCTGAAATGATAATGTAAACAAACCACCGTAAATAGTTTCTTAAGCTGATTTTTCGCTTCGGCCGGGCGAATGTCATATTTCCATCAATTAATGTTAAACATTCTGAATTGCAACTTGTATTTCAGTGTAGCTGGGTCTAGCTCATTCGATGCCAGTTTGAAGGATTTGTCAAATAGGAGGTTACTTTAAGCAAAAACAGAATTGGAATATTGGATTGGTGAGAATTTGCAGTCAGAGCCCATTGCTCCTAGAATTCGCTCATGGTAGTCAAATTTAGAAAAATCGAGTCGATACAGATTTTTTCCTCTCTTTATTCTTTCTGCGTTTGGTGAATGACTAGTCGATATAATGGCTGATAGTTTCTAAAGAAACTGTTAGGGGCTGCTTCGGTGGGGGTAACGAAATAATTTGGATATATCAACAAAGTTGAAATGGTAAATTGGCCACCGTAACGATTACAAAAGCTGACGTTTCGAGTGTTAGCCCTTCGTCGTTCCTACGGTGGCCAATTTACCATTTCAACTTTGTTGATATATCCAAATTATAGTCGATATAACGGTCTCAGATAAAATAAAATACCGTCAGAGACTACAACTTGGAATGAGTTCTTAGAAAATGAACCTTTATAAAATGGTCGGAAAAAATCGTGTGACGAGTTGATGAGACAAGCAGGGCATAGACTTATGTCCGCGGGTTCATTCTGCGACTTTTTCTGCATGTACCGAGGTCTATTACTTGTTTTAAGGCTTTTGATTTTTGTGAGACACAAATTCGATCACTCTATGGTATGTTTCGGTTTGCGGTCAAGATTTGACAAGGTGATGAAATTTAGGCTTCCCTACAACCGCCGAATGTCTACAGTGGCTAAATAAACGGCAGACGGTCAAGGTTATAAAAACGCCAAATAAAAGGCCTAAACTTCTGGTAAATTTGAGGAATAAAATTCAATTCAAACCTGACTATCATATGTTGATCAAAAAGTGCTAAGCGATCCCAACATCTTTATGGATTACAGATCTAAAGCTAGGCTGAGTTTGAATTCTACTTTTTTGTCACATTTTGTGAACAGATGCCAATTTAAAGCATCATTTGCAGATTAGGAAGTGCTTAGCGATCCCGTAGGGCCTTACAGTTTAGTTCTTAAGTCTAAAGCTTGGTGTCAAAGTTTGTAGTATGAAACTGATGCAGCCACTGGAAGTTCATTCGTTTGAAGGGAAGATTATATAGATGTTCAGGATCGCTAGGCACTTCCCTATGGACATAGGATAGTTTGGATGGGCGAAGTCGCTTCGATACGCCTAATTTGCCAAAAGTTAATGACCCACTCAAACAGTGGTGAACGTGTAGCCCATTGTACGCAGAACACTCCCAGAAGGCAAATCATGTTGGCGCCAGAAAAAAAACAAATGTCAGTCAAGAAAGCTTTTATAAGATGATAAAACCATTGTAGCTGGCAGGTAATGTTAAAGGTTAAAGCTTTTGACAGTACCCGCTAACCATGGCATTAAGAGGATAATGCTAGAAAATTACATTTCATCGAGTTACACATCTAGACGAATATTCTGAAACTGAACAGTCAAAATTACTAAAGTAATCTTGCAAAGAGGCTCACCAATCCATGAAATGAAAAGTAGTAAAGTAAATTGGCTCAGTTAAATATCCTGCGATACTTTATCATCACGCAATTGAGTTTTGCCTTTACATATCATTTTCAAATATCTCTCCTTAAAGCTTGCCCTTTCAATCTACCTCCTTAGATGTCACCCGGAATTTCCAGTTTGTGACGTTCCATTAGGATTCATTTCGGTAGCTGTGCTTCAAGAAGGCTATGCGAAGCTTATCTGTACCATTTCCTGTTGAAACGGATTTACTTATGCGAAGTGTCATGCGAAAAAATGCATTACAACCCAGGAATTTTTTCTTGGTTGGATCTCTTTGGTACTAATGAGATTTCTAAGATATCCTCCTCGAGAAACTTGGACCGAAGAATTAAATCTATATTTCATATATCTGTACATGTACTATCGATAGAATGCTAAAAAGAAATCTGTACAGAATAATAACATACTTTCGTGATAGTTTACTTTTGTATCAAGTCTTCGCCATCGAATGCATCGCACCTTTGAATTCTGAACTCCGGATTTGTACTTGAGCTCAAAGATTTATTTCAAAGTGCAAATGCTGGTGTGACCGGGGTACCGAGCCTTGTTTCACATATAACATTTTAGCCGCACCTAAATAGCAAATGCAGTTTTGAAGTGGACATAGATGAAAATTACAATTCAGAAAAGAATCCCTTAGTAGGAGACTCCGGCTGAAGGCAGTCTTGTCACCTGGGTATTATGAAAGTTTCCTGTTTGTCCTTGTTCACGCTTGAAGTTCCGTTGTTTGGTAGGTGTCTTGATAATGTAAAATATAATGTTGCATATAAAATGTACCGCGATTTTCACCAGCGTTAGTTCACGAGTTGCTTTCATTCCAAAGTCAATAAACGAGGACCGTGGGAAATCGCATTTTTGAATAAGAATGTTCATTGCAGCCCCGTCAAAAAACAAAAAAAGTAAGAAAAGTGCTTACTTTGGGACGACCCGTAGATCGTCGGAAAAAACAACAGCATCAGGACCAGCATCTTCATGGTAGTGGCTGTGTTACCGTTCAAAATGATCACCATCCGCATTCCTCTGTTGACGCGCTGTTGGCGCACTGAAAGGGACAGTGTCACGATCGGGCATGCGCACTGAAAAATATCATTTCTAAGCATTATTGTAATCGTTCGCCATCTTGCATTTCAAAATTCATGTAAATATACGGCTTTGAACGCATCAAAATTGATTAGAATACCCCTCTTTAGTGATCGATAAAGCTTCCTCTCGCTATATTTTGAACACACGAGCCTCTATACACAGGTAATTTTAAGTTGTGGACACTGACGCTGGACAGATTTTAAACAGCAACCATGAGAGTTCACTCGCCGTGACAACTTTACTTTTCGTAACTGTTGATGGAACACTATAGGTTTGAGAGATAGGGAGCAGAGTTCTTCGGAAAGAGTCGTTTTAGTTCGCAGTTGAGAACTTGTCAGAAGCACGGTGAGGCAGAAAAACACTTTTAGGACGGTTCATTTGCTAGTTCCCTGAATACCCTTAACTGACTTTAGCGGTCATAATTGCATGAGAAAGTGTCCCATTATTTTCTCTTCCTTCTTATAAATGATCCCGTTAAGTTTTATCCTTAGAATGAGAGAAAGATAACTAATAAGTAAGTTATCTCCGCTAAGAAAAATGTGTTTTGCAATGTTCTTCTCTTTATCGTCACGGAATAATTAACGAAAACAATTCCCCTTTCATACATATATTCTGCTGCAATAAATCTAAAATAAAACGCTGTTAGCACATAAGTGGAAGTGAACTTGTCACGAGAAAGTCACGAGAAGCTTTTCTCAAGAGAGGCGACTATTCCAAAGGGGATACTTTTTTCCCGAATCGTTGCCAGATATGGTAATAAGGGGCCGACCCTTTAACTCTTGAGGGGGAGCGGGTGATTTTGAAAAAACATTTTCTGCAAGCGCTTGTTGGAAGAAAAAAATTGCATGCAGCCCAAATGTAACAGAGAAAAAGAGCATTTAGAACGGAAAAATATCCTAAACAGCACATTGCTAGAAAAAAAATTTCTTAATGACCAGAAATCACCCACCCCCCTCCCCCTCAAAAATTAAATGGTGGGGCCCCTAAAGAAAGTTGATCCTTAAGTGCTGAGAATATAACAGTTGGTTCTCGGGATTGCTTTTCCAAGCTTCTGTTGTTCACAAATTGAAACAAGTAAATTACACAACCTCTACCATTCATTCTTTGTTGATTCAGTTCACGGGAATGAAACGGGAAGGTTCTTGCCAGTACGAGAGAGGGGTAATGAAAATCCGGTCTTCCTCGCAATGAAACCGTCTGGCAATCTAGTTGCTTGTGAATTTTGGCGCGGAAGCCATTGCATTTATGTCACTGGTTATAAAATGGCGTTTTGAGTGATGGGACTGTTACTATCACTACAAACCTGAGGAACATCAACTTGGGCTCTTTGCCGAAGGGTGAGATCTACTCGGCTTGATTGAAAACAGTTGTAACATATATCTTTTTATTAAAAACTAGATCATTGGATAATGCAATTCAAGACTTTTTATTGGCTCAGCCATTATGGTATATCAGCCAATATACCATAATCTACAAATATGGCAAGCGTACGTGTCAGCTTAAAATTAAAAGGGAGCTAAAAATTTAATAAAATTTAACAAAATTTAATAATTTAATTTAACGTTTTTAATAAAACAATTATTTCACTCGCGCTTGTTGGATATGAGATGATTATAGCCAACTCGGCGCTACGCACCTCGTTGGCTATCTATCATCTCATATCCAACGCGCGCTCGTGGAATAATTGTTAAATATTCGGTGGCAATGTCTTTCGCTTTCGAACCCGTGTTGTTTGACCAGAAGTCAGATGCAAATAGTGTATTACGTCACAGAAAGAAGTTATTTGTTTTTATCAAAACTTAGTTTAGTCTCAGTTGATGAGCGTCAGTTGAAGAACATGCCAGACACTAATGGACTTAAAAGCCCAAAACCCTATTTTGCCGACTAAAACGCAGGTGACAGAAGTCTCTTTTATTCAGCGATTCGTTGAAAAGCCTTTAGATTCGTTCTAGACCAGCTCATTGGCTGCTCTGAGCTTCGTGGTTACGTCTTTGTATTCATTGAGAGGGACAATAAAGTTTTGTTTTTCCAGAGGTTTAAGTTAGTATAGAGCCCTTCATTGTGATAAAAATTAAATCTGTCTTTCACTGTGTCTTCTTTAAACTCGCATTTAAAATAGTAAATGGTTAAATTAAATATTTCAAATAATGAGTGTATGTGTGTCTACTTATTATTACCTGTCTGCTTCCGAGAAATTTATTTTTTATAAGTATTTGTTTCAGGCGCAAGGTTACTAATAACAAATTTCGCATAATTGTCACCGCGAGAGTAGCCACGCCCCTATTGCCTTACTTATTAACTATTGTCCGCTTCTAAAACGGTTTATAAACATTTTTAGCACAAAATGAATAAGCAGATTGCTTTCATTACATCGTCCTCCCTGTTTCAATGCACTCGGTTTTAATGAACAATTTCTCATGGCCTGCTTTTAATACAGGGTTTTAGTATTGATAATACTTCTTAAATCTCATCAGCGCGAAAACAGCTTTCGCCCAAACGAAGGGCGAACTCTCGAAAAGTTAGCCGCTAGAAACTCTTTACGTTGGCCAATTTACGTTATCAACTCAGTAAATAATACTCTCCACCAACACAGCACCAAAGTTTCTTTAATTAGAAATTTATCCCTTTTATTTCAGTATGTGAGAATAAATGCCTTGTTTATCAACCTCTCTGTCTTTTTCGTCGAAGACACTGCATTATTCACGTGGGTTCAATGACAATTTTGAATAAGTATGATACTAACAGCGGAGAAATGGGACATCTCTTTTTTTATCAATTTCTGTGCGCTTCTAAAACATTTTCAGATACTCGAGGGCTTTATGAACATTTTGAACTATTATAAGCTGGGTCTTAAGCAGTTTTCTATGCACGAGAGTTTGATGAGGATTTTTTTGTTATTATTTACACAAGAAAGACAGTGAGGGTATATTACCTCTATGACCAACTTCTTTCCCCCTGTTTCACAGCTTTTACGCCAAAGGAGGGTGAGATCAGTTAACAATGCGCTATGCATGAAACAGAAATTGGAGAATTTAAAAGTTTTCCTAACATGCCCTTGGTCAAGACTGACAAGTTGAAGGAGACACAGGTCATTTTCAGCCAGTGTCCGTATACAACTGATGTTAATTCTGATATAATGATAGAATGACCTTATTCATAGATAAGGATTGGATCACGGAGTCTAGTCATACTCACGAACCGGAAAATGTGTTAGGTCGACGGAGAGCAAAGGAACTGTTTAATTGTGTCCTTTACCGCTTGTCTCACTGAACTTATCTTCCAGCAGTAAAGAAACGGATTCATCGCCGAATTAAGGGAAACACAAATAAGTGAAGATACAAGGATCACAAAGTTTGATAAACACACCTTGCCATCCATCCAAGCACCCATTACACAGAATGGTATGTAACATACAACCAATGCTAGTTGCAACCACAGAGTACCGTGCACTGTCTTTCTGTAACGAGATAGGTTCAAAGACACCGGTTGATTTAGTTGCTCTTGTTGTCGAGGAATGATGTGCACTCTATTCTGGTTGTGAAAAAGCGAGTGGAAACTTTTTGCATACGAGAAAATGGTAATTACTAGACATAACGGTAGGACAATATAGCCATACCACAAGGTAATCCGGTAATCTTTAAGGTACAATATCCCAGCAAGCGTGGAAATAACCCAAAAAGTAATCACCATGGCGTATGTTCGTGTTAAAGTTACAGCTTGTTTGTATCCCAGCCCCAGTATCAGCGCGAGGAGTCTGTCCACACTGATCGCGGTCAGTGTTAACATGGACACCGACGTCAAAGTATAGCCTGTTATGAAAGTTGTGTTTAGGGCATAGGGACAAAGATTCCAATCCTTGTAAACTAGAGACAACCAGTAAACAACATGGAAAAGCTGTGCAATAAGGCTAACGCAGAGATCAGTGGTGGCCAAACAACGAAGTAAGAGTTGGAGGACGGAGGGAAGATTCCTTCCGCAGAGAAACAAGGACCAGAGAATTTCCAAGAAATGCAGCAACAGCAAGAAATATATTAAGCGCTGAAATGGATATCAACTCTCTGTGTACTCCGTTTGTCCAGCCTTCTAAACAACGCAGTTGTACAAGTGTTTCGATTTTTTCATCTACATTTGAGTTTGCCTTTACCATTATCACCGCTCCATTCTGTGTATATCAGCTAACTATGTTTATCTAGGTCTTGAATTACATCACGAGGTGTCTATTCTTAAAAGCTTTTCACCTTTCGTTACGTTTTTAAACATACGAGACAGAAATTTTAATCCAACAAACGTTCGCCGTCGAAAACTAAAATGATGGTGAGCGGAGTAATCTAAATCTAGCAAAGAAGTTGACAGGAATTTTAAAAGTTGATTTTCCAGTACATTGTCCGACTTGGAGATTACTTTCTCAAAGGGTTTCAATTTTTAATTCTATTTCTCGACGAATTTGCGTTCTTCTGTTTATTAACCCCAAATTATCATAATGAGGGATCATTCCAACAGCGAAATAGACAAGATGGATTACTCTAAGCCTGGCATTTCTAATTAGTTCAATTATTAAGAGGAAATACAAAAAGAAAAAAAAAACACCAAACAGTGAATCAACGTCAGATAATCCAAAGATTATTCTTAAATCACGATGTATATTTTTTATGCAAAACAGTCTCTTCTTTTGTTTTTGAGTGAACAAAATGGCTAGAAAGATAAAACCCTGTTGTGTCGCAAACTAATAATTCCATATTTACCTTTCCGTAACCGTTCTTTCATTTCTTCTCACATAAGTACAACCATTTTTTCCTGTCAACACGTCTATGAAATGCTATGTAGTGTAAGCATTTTCTAGGGTCTCCTTTGGTAGTTTTTACACAAAGAACAGCAAAGGACTAAAATTGTGACAAGTGGGCCATTTTTTAAGAAATTGAACTGAGGAAAACAAACATCTGACACCAACAGATATCATAACCACTAAGAAAAGGCGTCCTTGACTCGACTGTCCTTTGTCAAATGAACGAAAGAATAGAACCCTGAATTGAATGTTTTCTCGCTCAACAAAGAAAAAGTTGAAAAAATATCTGTGCGTTAGCACAAAGTGTGTTAGAAGTGATTCGAGAAATAGAATTAAAAACTGAAACCCTTTGAGAAAGTAATCTCCAAGTCGGACAATCTACTCGAAAATCAACTTTTAAAATTCCTGTCAAATTCTCTGCTAGATTTGGATTTCTCCGCTCACCATCATTTTAGTCTACTCTGCGTATGTGAAATAAGGCAGGCGAAGGAAATCCGCCGCTATTTTGAATTTAAGACGATTTTAATGCAAATAATTTTTTTTGAGAGATCTTTTTGAAATATGAAAGAGATGGGCCAAGTCTTGCTCTTCTAAGTCATAGCTTTGTTCCAAGCACGACAACTTGCTTCGTGAAATTTAAATGGGTGCGATATTTGAGGTATGGCAGATAAAGACAAAAGCTATCTTTCTGGAATCCATATTTTTAGGATGAAGGATCCCTCACAAATCTGTCAAGCTTTATTTATAAACTTCTTAATAGAATACCACACCATTAAGTTTGTAACAGACTGACGCCAGTAGTTGTGCTATTTAAACTTAACCACTACGTCGCCTAAGAAATCTCATTTTATATAAGAGCACACTGATCGCTCATTAACAAATGGTGAACGCCATAGCGTGCACTATTGAGTTATGGATGCACGCGGGAGGTTGCTAAGCACGAAAGAAGCGTAAGAGTCGCACGACGCGATAGCCGAGCGCGACTCTAGCTTCTTGAGTGCTTAGCAAACCTCCCGCGTGCATCCATAACACAATAGTGCACGCTATGGCGTTCACCATTTGTTTTATAACATAACATTGAGACATTGGAAGAACAGAAGTCCATTTATTGAGCTACATCACAAAAAAATATTCGTGTAGTCTTACACGACAAGAGAAAACAAGCGCGCGAAAATTTATTCATGACAACCGACTGCACACCAGCAACTCGATAAAGTTTAATCACGTTTCCTGAACTATCAGTCAAAATCCTCTTTATAAGGT